CCTAGCAGAAATGCTGCTTGCCTGCAATGTGCCAGGGAGGGGAGATGGTCATTGGGGATATCTCTTGAGGATAACACATGGGAGAGCAGAGTGCTCATGACAGGGAGAAAGAAGTCCAGGACAGGGCCATGATCCATCCCCAGGCCAAAGGCATGATGGCCAGGACCTCTTGAAGGCTCCCAAAGTCAATGGAGAGGCGTTCACCTCCAGCCCCATTCTCTGCTGGGCTTGGGACTGGCGATGCCTCCAGCCTCCTTCCTTCCCTGCAAATCACCTGGCCAACCCCTCCTCTCAGCCTTTTCTCCCCTTTCTAGACAAAATAACAACCTCTCCCCATTCCTGGGACTGCTCCCTTCTTTTCCAGACTTGCCTAGGCTCTTTCATCATGCCAATAAAAGAGTAAATGCATCACACGTTGGCCGGGGAGAGCGGAAACCCTTAAACATCTGAGAGGCGAGAGCGACAAGAGGTGTTTTTTTGAGGCTCCCCGATGCCCTGTTAGGTCAAATGTCTTGCTCTGAAGCAGGAGAGAGGGGACTTATTAAAAACCTTTCATTTTTCTGATTTTTAAGGTCCCGTTTCAGCAGGCCGGAGGCCGAGGCGTGAGTGGGGCTGCCGAGGGGGAAGGGCAGCGAGCCGGCGGCGTGCAAACAGATTGTGCAATATTTGCCTTGCACAGAGCTCCCATTGTAAAGCCTGGGAGTTCTGCTTCCAATAAATCCCCTGCCATAATGCCCCATTGATGGCAAGAGAAAGGCAGTATTGAGGGCTGAAAGGGCTCCGGCCCCAGAAAGGGTTAAAAACTAAAGAAAAGGGGAGGGGGGGGGGGGAAGTTAAAAAAAAAAAAAAGATTTGAAGCTTAGTTTTAAACTTTGCTGTGTGGCCCTCGTGGCACATCGCAGGCGTGGAGAAATATGTGGAGCCTGTTTGCATAACCCCATTTGCAGCGAGCGCTCTCGGAGCCAAAACGCAAGTGCGGCCGGAGCCGGGGGGCGGTGGGCAGAAAGAAGCAGGAAGGGCTGTGTTTATTTTTATTCTTGCCCTAGGCCACATAAAATTAATAATTAGGGGGGGAGGGGGAAAAAAAGAAGAAGCAATAATTAAATATTTGGTCAGAGAACCAGCTGTGCAAATGTGAGGAGTTGTGCCAGCTGCAGGGACATGGAGGGACCTGGTCCAGGCACCGGTCAGGGTTTGCTGCCTCTCAGGTCGTGTTGCTGGGCTTAGAAGCACCAAAAGGGAGAATATGAGGCTTTGTCTGGTGGCTTTACCCTGGATGCTGAGCAATTCTTCTGTGTGGGGGGCTTGGCTCCAGCTGGGAAGGGTCTGCAGGCGTGTGGAAGGGCTGGGCTGGGGTGTGGGAGGGTGATGCTCTGCCCACAGAGCTGCTGCCAGCCCCACATCCAGCACACAGCTCGCCCAGTGGGGCTCCCCATCACCTTGAACTGGTAACACTATTGCAGATCAGGCTGAGATGGAGATTCAGTGTCATTTGTCACAACAGCTGATGTGACAGGGAGGAGCAGGGCTGTCCTTGCCAGGGCAGATGCAGGACCAAAGCAGGCAGGGTCTGCTGGCTGGCTCAGCATCCGTGTCCGGGCTGGCTGCCAGGGGAAATCTCCCCGTTGTGCAACATGCTGGAGCTCTCCAAGGAAGCTCCTGGCTCTTGAGACATCTTTGAGCTAGGCTGGACGAGTGACTGCCTTGAATTAAGAGAGGCTGGGGGGGTGCCTGCAGGCCCTGAGTACTTTTTCCGTCCCTAGACCTTGTGATGCATTAATCACCCTCAGAGCAGCTGTGCAGACAGCTTAAATCGTACTGACCCCGAAACTCCAGACTTGTCATTCCTTCCTCCTCCTCCTCACTACCAGCCACTCCCTCCTCCTGCCTCCCGTCAGATGATTTCAGTGGGGCTGGTTTGAGGGTCCCATGGCACCCCATTTCCTGGGATCGAGAGTGCCTTCACTGTACCCCTTGCTGCTTTTCACCTTCTTATCATTTCTTGGAGGAGCACCCTGAAGGTGTTTGTGTGCTGCTGGGACCCTGCCAGCTGTCCCTGAACCTTCAGAGCAGGGTCACTTCCAACAAATTCACTATTTATTCACCCTTCAGCTCTTGGAAAAGCTCCTTGAGCTGAGTTAACCCTGCTGTTTCTTCTCCAGACCCAGGGCCAGCACTGATTTCACTGAGCCAGCTGCCCTGGCGGGCATGGAAGATCCCCTCCCTGTGCCAGCATGTGCCCATGTCCCTGCTGCCACCTCCTGCCCTCCTTTCAAGTGTCTGAGCTTTGGCCACTGACAGCAGCTTAAACTCAGGATGACTCTCCCAGCCTGTGCCTCCTCATCCTAAGGGCGTGAGCTGGATGCGACCCACCACAGGGCTGCAGATGCTGCTGGAGCAGCAAATCCACACACCCAGGAGGTGCTTGGCTCTGCTCTTGCTCCTCCAGGGTGGCTCCAGCCCTGCTACTCATAGGTGGGCTCCAGCTCCACTGCTGTGGCCACACATCCCTTCTGCTGCCCTCTCTGCACCTCCCTCCTGCTCATCCTCTGGCCCCAAGGAAGACACAGTTTATCAGCAATCTGTGCTGCCTTAAACACACTTTCTCTGGCACGTCTGAGGCCTGACATCTTCAATTTCCTCTTTCATCTGTAATATTCACCCAAATGGACTATTATTTATTATTTGGAAAGAGCTCCGATTACAGTCCCTGGCGATAACTCTGTCTCTGTTCAGGGTGTGCACGGAGCCATGTGTGTGGCCATGCACACAGGACCCAGGAGGTGGAGGGTCCCCCACCTCTACTTACCCTCAGTCAGGTCCAGGATTTTCTGGGAGGAGGGTATTGTTCAAAACTAGAGATGTTGGGGGAGAAGAGGGAAGCGAGTGATGGGAAGGAGGGAGGGAAAGGGAGAGGAGAAGCGGGTGGAAGAAATGAGTGATAAACCCCTGAGGATTAATCAAACCTCACTGAAGGGCTCAACCCAGCCCTGCTGTGCTCCATGGAGTGAGCAGAGGTTCCTGCCAGCAGGGAGAGGCACAGAACACAGATGTCCATCCTGCCTCCTGCTCTTGTCCCCTGCACCACTCCCCGTGCTCCTGCAAACCCCTGAGCCCTGGCTGAAATAGGCTCTGTCCCATTGCCTGTCCTTGTCCTCATCCCCTCTGCCTGTGCATTAAGCCAGGTGGGAGAAGCCTACCCTCCCTTTTCTATTCCTGGGAGTCATCCCTGTCCCTGGGACTGGGGAGCTTTGTGATCCCTCCTCCCCACTCCTCCACAGTACCTGGGGTCCTATGGGGCAGGCAGGCATGGGGCAGGGGAGACACTTGGGGCACAGGGGGCTGGAGAGTCAGGGGAAGGGCAGGGGAGGTAGGGAGAGCCTGAGGGAGGAACCAGAGGAGGGGATCCAGGAGGGAGACTTGGAGGGGACCTGGAGCTGTCTGTCTCAACTGCTCTTTTCAGCCAGTTCTGAGGTTCCCCCAGATACCCCAGTGAGCCCCTGCCACAGCCCTGCAGCCCTGCAGTTGGGGTGGGTGGGTGGGCTGGAGGGCTGTTGGGGTGCCCTGTTTGCTGGAACCCCTCAGGTCCTCATGGGGGCTGTGCAAACAGCCACAGGGCTCATCTCTGGCTGTACCAAGGGTGGGTGAAGGTGAGAGGGTTTGTGCTACCAATCTCCCTTCTTGGGCCAAGTCCTGCCCCGGGGAAAGTCGAAGGGGTGAGATGGTTCCAGATGTGGGAGCTTCCTGATGCCTGATGAATGCTGGCCCTGAGGAAAGAATTGCACAGGGGAATTGCTCATCTCTCCCAAAAGCTGCCCTGAAGCATCAGGGCACTGGCCCCTTGTCCCAGAACCCCAAGCTCAGATCAGTACCCCTGCACTGGCAGAAGTCTCTGGTCCCCACAAAACCTTGCCCCTGGCTGGCTGTGACCACGGCTCCTCCCTGCCTCAGTTTCCCCTCTCGGAAAATGGGTGCAGCAGCACCCACCCCTCTCTGTAGTGCTCTGCAAGCACCTGGTTTTATTAACACTGGGAGTGTTCAAATAGGTTTTTGCAGATCCCCCCTGTTCAGGATTTATTTAGATGGTGATCTTGTCAGCATGGGCAGCTGGCCCCAGCAATCCCTCCCAGAGACCCGGTCCTTCCCTCTGCCCCCCCAGTCTGGGTGTTGCAGGGGCTTTGGCTGAGCATCCCACCGAGAGTCCTGACCCGTGTGTCACACGACTCGGGACAAGTAGGGAGGGAAGCATCCGTGGCTCAAGGAATGCCACGCTCAGGACCCTGCATGCTCTGGGGCTTCCCAGATTTTTCCTTGAGCTGCTGAGCTGGGAGGGGCCGAGCCGGCAGCTCCCCATAAACCTGGCGGCTTAGACCATGTCCCGGGCAGATGTTGGGACTCTGCCTTGGAGCGGAGGTTGGGAAAAGGAGAGGGCGGCTCTTGCCCGGAGAGTGAGGAGGAGAACTCGGCACCCCTGGGCTTGAACTTTAGCACCCTCTTCCGCAGGAGTTTAAAGAAAAGGATCATCGTATCCCGAGTGAGCTGTCCGGATAGCCGGGCAGGATCAGGGCTGGAGAGAGGGAAAGCCAGCGGCTTTCTCTGACAAGGATTTTATGGAGCTCTTCATAAAGAAATAACAGCGGGGAGAAAACCCCAGGAAGCCAGGAAGTGTTTCCAGCGCTCGGGACGCTGGTGAGCAGCTCCGGGCCGCCGCCAGTCCCTGCGAGGAGCCCGTCCTGCCGTGCAGATGTGTTTGATTGGAGCAGCGCGGGGGTTATTTTCTTTTGACTGAAGGCAACCCAGCCCCGGCGGATTAAGCTCTTTGTGTGCACGCGAGTGTGCCTTTATGGAAGCTGCTCCCGCAAAACCAGCCGTGGGGGTTGCCGGGACCATCCCCTAGGTCGGGGGGCTCTTCTGGAGGAGGGGGGGACCTCCTGTTTCCGTGACTCTGAGGAGATGCTGGGACAGTAACTCCCTTGGCAGGCAGCACGGTGTGCTCCGGGATGGCCGTCTATGCCCTCACGGGCTTCTCGCTCGTCAGCCTACTCAGCTTTGGCTACTTATCCTGGGACTGGATGAAGCCCAGTTTGGTGGCTGATGTGGCCACGGACCCCATGGAGAAATCTCTGCCTCCTGCCTTTGCCAGGCCACCCCACATCATCTTCATCCTGACTGATGACCAGGGCTACCACGATGTCGGGTATCACGGCTCGGATATCCAGACGCCGACGCTGGACAGGCTGGCAGCGGAGGGCGTGAAGCTGGAGAACTACTACATCCAGCCCATCTGCACCCCGTCCCGGAGCCAGCTGATAACCGGCAGGTAAGCCAGTGCCCACTCACACCCCACTCCTGTCCCTGTTTTGGTCCCTTCTGTAGCCCCGAGGGGTTTAACCCCAGCTTGCAGCTCGACCGATGCCCTGGTGCGTTGGCAGGTGATGGAGATCCTCCAGTGGATCTGGATTTCTCTGGAAGGCTTCCTGTGTGAACAGTTGATTTTCATACAGGAAAAATAGTGGCACATGGCAAGGCCAAAAATGTGGATGCTGTTGGGTAATGGATGTCACTTTGGGAGAGGGTAGTTCCTGGCCTGAGGTGCTTCAGTGCCAGGCAAGGAGCTGTGTCCCCAGGTAGTCCCATGCAGCTGTCACACAGGCCCTTGGGGATTTGCTGTGGGGTCAAAGGATCATTTTTCCCTGCATCTGTGAATCCCTTGGTCCGTGCTTTCCCTGCGTGCATGTTCAGTGCTGCACTGGCCAGGGCAGGATGGATGCTGCTCCATCACTCTCTCCTGTAGCAGCACAGTCAGGTTTTATCATGGGGCTTCTATGATAAGTGGGGCTTTCTCTGGAGCAATGCTGGGTGGTCAGCACTCACTGCAGGAGGCAGATCCCACCAGATCATCTCCTGCTGAGGAATGGGCCCCAGGGAGGTGCCCATGGATGTGGTCACCTACTACCAGGGGGTGGTGGAGCCCACTGTGGTCCAGGCAGAAGCCTCTCTTATCTCTTGATGGCTCTTGAGTGGTCCCAGGCATCTCTGGGGTGTGCAAAGCAGGAGAGGGCAGGGACGATGGGGGTATCCAGGTGGGACACTGCAAACCCACTTGCTTGTGCTGCCCAGCCCTGACACAGCCCAGACACTTCCCCAGTCTGGCAGCTCCCTGTCTCTGGCTGGAGTTTGCTTCGTGGGGCTGGGTTGGGTGACACAAAGATCTGGATGTATTTTGGTCTTCAGTACATATAAAGTGCCATCACATCCCCACCCAGCACTGCCTGCCCATCATCATTGACTCCTCCTGGCTCTTTCTGGCAGGTACCAGATCCACACAGGGCTGCAGCACTCCATCATCCGCCCTCGGCAGCCCAACTGCCTGCCCCTCGACCAGGTCACCCTGCCACAGAAGCTGCAGGAAGCGGGCTACTCCACACACATGGTGGGCAAGTGGCACCTTGGCTTCTACAAGAAGGAGTGCCTGCCCACCCGCCGGGGCTTCGACACCTTCCTGGGGTCCCTGACAGGCAACGTGGACTATTACACCTACGACAACTGCGACGGGCCGGGCGTCTGCGGCTACGACCTGCACGAAGGGGAGGACGTGGCTTGGGACCAGAGCGGGAAGTACTCCACCTTCCTCTATGCCCAGCGTGTCAGCAAGATCCTGGCATCCCACAGCCCTAAGGAGCCCATCTTCATCTACGTGGCCTTCCAGGCAGTGCACACGCCCCTGCAGTCGCCCAAGGAGTACATCTACCGCTACCGCTCCATGGGCAACGTCGCTCGCCGCAAGTACGCTGCCATGGTGACCTGCATGGACGAGGCGGTGAAGAACATCACCTGGGCCCTCAAGAAGTATGGTTATTACGACAACAGCGTGATCGTGTTCTCCACTGACAACGGCGGGCAGACCTTCTCCGGGGGAAGCAACTGGCCACTACGGGGCCGCAAAGGGACGTACTGGGAAGGGGGAGTCCGTGGCATCGGGTTTGTCCACAGTCCCCTGATCAAGCGCAAGCGTCGGACAAGCTGGGCACTGGTTCACATCACAGACTGGTACCCGACTCTGGTCAGCCTGGCCAGGGGCAACCTGAGCAATGTGCCAGGCTTGGATGGCTACGATGTCTGGCCTGCCATCAGTGAGGGCAAGGAGTCACCACGTACTGAAATCCTGCACAACATCGACCCCTTGTACAACCATGCCAAGTATGGCTCCTTGGAGGATGGCTTTGGCATCTGGAATACAGCTGTGCAAGCCTCCATCCGGGTTGGGGAGTGGAAGCTCCTCACTGGTGACCCAGGGTACAGTGACTGGATCCCCCCGCAGACCCTGACCAACTTCCCAGGGAGCTGGTGGAACCTGGAGCGTCTCACTGACGGCCTGAGGAAGTCCGTGTGGCTCTTCAACATCACTGCTGACCCCTACGAGCGCTACGACCTCTCAGAGCAGCGCCCAGATGTGGTCAGGACCCTCCTGACGAGGTTGGTGCAGTACAACCGGACAGCCATCCCGGTGCGGTACCCTGCGGAGAACCCCCGGGCTCACCCGGACTTCAATGGTGGTGCCTGGGGACCTTGGGCCAGCGAGGATGACGGGGAGGAGTGGGAAGGCAGCCGGGAGCCCCTGAAGAGTAGGAACAAGAAGAAGAAGTGCAAGATCTGCAAGCTGCGCTCTTTCTTCCGCAAGCTGAACACCAGGCTCATGTCCAACCGCATCTGATGGGAGACTCCCCCAGCATCGACCCATCCTGGCCAGGGTGGAACTCTGGACTGCACTGCCATGGGGTGGGAGTGAGGGAGAAGAACATGTGGGAAGGTGGCCAGTGCTCTCTTGCTCTCCCTTGCTCCAGGATTCATCGCAAAACACTTCTCCTCTCTGGCTGGAGGGGTGGCTGCAGGGAGGTGGTCTCGGTGGGCAAGGAAGGGTGATGTGGTCTCTGCCCTGGTGCTTGGTGGTGGTGTATGACTGTGCTGAGCTGGGCTGGCCCGTGCACACCCCCTTCCAAAGAGAGAGACCCTTTCCTCAAGAACTCCACAGCCAGTCATAAGCTTTAAGTGCTGGCCATTGCAAGAGCAGGAGGAAGCACGGGAAGCCCTGCCTGCAGGTTGATCCTTGCCATTTCCCTGTATTTACATGCTCCTGGCTTTCAGCCTTCTGCCAGGCAGCTGCTGCCTTTGCTCTTGCTCTGGGAACTCGAGGGCCTCCCCCACACCCAAGACCACAGCACTTCCCTATTACACTTCTTTGTAGAAGGATGGATTCCTGACCATGGATATCAGACCTGAGACTGATGTGGCTGGACTCAGTCATGCTGCTACTGGGACCTCACCTGGGGCTATGGTTTCCCCTCTCCACTGGCTTTGGGGGCCGGGACCAGCCCCGGTGAGGAGCTGTGGCCCATGGAAACATAGTTGGATACACTCAGAGCTCTCTCTGGCCCCACATTTGGGAGGCAGATTTGCCCCTGGCTCTGATGAGCTCCACACTGGTCACCCAGCAGACCCTTTTACCCATAATTTGTCCAGACCCCCCATGTGTATGGCACCCATCTTCCTCTCCATGCCTCTTACTCATCCAACCGGCAAACCGTCCCGACTGCCTCTTCCCAGTGCTGGTGCTGTCCCTGTCCCCACATCCCACTGCTGAACCTGGGGCAGAAGGAAGTTCTCAAGGAGGTCTCTGCAGAGGCTGCTGTAGCTGCTCTGTAGCTGCAGGACCTCGAAGCCGCGGTGGAGGACAGGGGCGATGGGGACGTCTCCTGCCTGACAGCACCGCGCCGCATCCCCTCGCCGCAGATGGGCACCGCTCTTCCAGCAGCGCACGCGTGGGGAGGAAAACACCTTCCCATCATCCGCTGCCGTGGGGAACCCATCCGACTGCCGGGGCCCAGGAAGCTCCAGACCCAGCGCCGGGCCCCTGCGCCTTCGGCGGGGTGTGAGCACGCGTACGTGCGCTCACAGGAGAGCTGGCGAGGATGAAAGGGGGCAAATCGCTTCAAAAGCATTTTGGATGCATGGTGCATTTCCATTTACACAATGTGTTTTACATTTCTCCCCACAGGTTTCTCTTGGTGCAGCGTGTGTAGGCGAAGGCCCTGCTGTGAATTTTGAAAATAGTTATTTTTGTCTCTGGAAAATGAGGCCCGTTAGGACTTGTCAGCTCTTGGATGAGCAGTGTGGGCTTTCTTTTTTTTTTTTTTTCTTTTCCCCCCCTCTCTCTCTCCCTTGCAAAATAACATTCATTTAAAATCTGTCATTGAAAGATGTGACAATTGGCAGCGTGAACGCTGAATACCTTTCAGTGCGCTTTCAAGCCCTGTGTGTGAGAGAGGGATGAGGATGGGAAGAGAATGCAATGACACGTTTGTATTTTTTTTTTTCTTACTCTTAGCTGGATTATTTGGGGGAATTGGGATTTTCTATAGAAACAAAGAAAAAAACCCCCAGCTGACAGCAAGGCAGAAGAGAGGAGGCCTCTTCTTGTAGAGCTGGGAAGGAGTTTGAAAAGCCAAAGTGTGGTGGTGTGTGTGGCAGTCCCTGCTGCTCCACGTACATCCATCACTGTGCCGTCCCGTTGGCACATCCCAAGAACACGTTTCAGAGGGGGACTCAGCTCCTCCATCAGCCCCATCTCAATCCCTGCTTCCTTAGCATGTTGCTCCAGGGGGATTGGTCCCCATGGCATCACCTGGGCAGAGGTGAGCCCTGGGAGGATGCTCCACATCCTCAAACTACCTCAAGTGGCCAGCCTGGTCCCTCGGGATGTGCACCACCGGCGTATCCACCAACAGTGGGGCTGCAGCACTGGCTGCCATTTGGCAGAGCCAACCGGTTGCTGAAAATAAAGCAACAATTTGCTGAAGAAGAGGAGGCTGCTGCAGACAGAGCTGGAGCCAGAGGAGGGCAGGGGGTGATGCTGCAGGGGGCTCAGGAATAAATCATGGCAAAGGGGGAGCTGGTGCTGAAGGGAGCAGGAGAGCAGGGCTGGACGTGGGGTGGCGACAAGGCTCGGGAAACGGCTTTCATTTCCATATTTATATAAATGCATCCAAGTTTAGTCCTTCTTTTGTTTTTTTTTTTCTTCAAAAATGGAAATTTCCATGAAAACATGTTTGATTTTTCTCCCTTCACTTTTACTAATATCCCCACGAGAAGGTTCGTCTGGCCTTGCTTCCTTTCCAGTTTCGGATGTGCTGGGCTGGTGCCGGGCTCGCAGTCAGCCTGGACATAGCGGTGGATCTGCCGTCATCTGTATTTTAATTAAAAAAAGTTGGGTTCTGAATCTTTTTAAGAAGAAACAGTTGAAGGAAAATCTTAGTCCCTGAAAACAAAGAGGAGGAGTAGGCAGGAGCATCTCTGGGTGTTCGCGGAGTGCGAAGCCTCGAGCCTGAGGACAGCAGTTGTCCTTCTCCGATTCCAGCTGTGCTGTGTCTGAACACTGGGCTGGGAACGGACACATGGCTGCTGCTGCAGGGGCTCCTCATCCCAGCAATGCTCTTTAATGGTCTCTCTGGGGAAAAATGCGGCGATGTGCCACAATCCCGTGTTTTTGCACAGTTGAAGTCCCTTGGGAGTGTGTGTGTGCTCTGGCTGCTGAGGGGTTAATGCAGCTGGAGAGATGCTCAGTGGTGGAGCTCCCTGCACCCGGGAGACGTGTCTGCATAGACAGGCTGAGGCTCCCCTCCTTCCCAACCTCCATTCAAAGTGCTGGGCAAGCCCCTGGCTGCTCCAGACCCCATCAGGAACTGGGTGTAGGATGGGGGCCTGTGGAGGGATGGGGCAGGGGGATGCATCTGGGGCTCCAATGACAGGATGGACTGGCTGCCTCCACCCTGCTGGCTGGAGGGAGTGGGATGGGGATGGGCTAGGAATGGATGGGCTGGAGATGGGGAGGAGGATGGGAGGAGGATAAGAGGAGGATGGGGATGGGATGGGGTGGGGTTGGGGAGGGCGATAGGATGGGGATGAGGATGTGGGTGGGATGGATAGAGATAGGAGTGGGGATAGGATGTGAGTGGAATGAGGATGGGATGGGTCAGACAGGACTGGAGGTACCTCAGAGCCCCCCCTGAGAGAGGGAAGGCAATAAGCCTGGTAGCAGGACAGGGGATGGATATCTCAGCAAACTGCCACAGTGGGAGGTGGCAGAGCACCCAGAGCACTTCATGCTGGGAAGAGGGTGTTCTGGACCAAAGGCACTCTTGTCCTTTCTCCTTCCAGAGATCCAAGGACATGTGGTTTTTGGAGGTTTTTCCCCACCCAGAACCAGCACATGAAGGCCCCAGGGAGCCACATGGCACCTGCTGAGTGTCCCCAAGTATCACAGCCATGTCCACAGGAGGGTCTTTGCCCACGGACCCTGCTGTCAAGGAGAGGGTGGCACTGAGAAATCCTGTCTCAGCCAAAACCAGCTTCCTGTGGTTGCAGGAGCAAGTGCTGGGGCCCACAGGGACAGGGCACGTTTGCAAACACAACCCTAAATGTAAATCAGTTCTTACCACGGTATTTATAATCTTATCTAAAAATAACCCCAAATTCAGCTTCCCAGAGGACAGCAACTGAGCATCCCCCAGACCCCAGCTTGCATGTGAAACTGTCCCAGTAATTTTGGGATGTCTGCAATACGTAATTCGCAGCCCTGCTGGTTCTGCTGCAAGCCCCATCCCCTGGGAGCAGAGGGGACCTGCTGCACCCCCCCCGGACACACTGGCCCTCCCTGAGCTGCCATTCCAGTGCATTTGGTGTTTTGCATCAGATCTCAGGTGCCCACCCTGGGGCAGCCCCAGGCTGGGATGTAGAAACTAAATCTCTGCAGGTAGAGCTGGAGCAAAGGTGGGGAGAGCAGCCCAGTGATGGAGAGGATCACTGGGGATGAAGGTCTCCATCAGGTGGCCAGACCCGAGCACGGCAGCAGGAGAGCAGCTTGGCTCCCAAAGCCCTGCAGGAGCAAACCTTGGGATGGCTGGAAACAGAGATATCTTAAGTGTATCCTGAGGACTCTTGGAGAGGGCTGGGACTACTCCCCTATACCGGGGAGCCCCCAGCCCAGAAGGAGAAGGTCCCACTCAGAGCTCCTGCTCCCCTTGGATTGTCTCCAGGCACCCAAGAGCAGAGCCATGCAGCAGTTCCTGATTGAGAAAACATCATCAGTGAAGCAGAGCATGTTCGGCATCCAGAAGTCTGACATCCCCTTACCCTCAGAGGGAAAAATGTCGAGGAAAAGCAAAAAAAAAAAAAAATGGATAGAGAGGATGGAGGGAGAAAACTTTCCTGAAGAGCTGTGTCTCTGCCAGGCAGGAGAATCCTGGGGAGGGAGGCAGGGTCCTCACAGGGGGCTTTGCCATCACCCCCTGCCTGGGTGAGGGGTTTGTGCCATGGGGATCAGGGGTGCAGTGGGGGTCCTGGGGGGAAGGAAGGGACAGATCCCTCCTCCTGGCTACAGGAGCACGCAGTCACGCGTGTGGGGTTGAACACGTGTGCCAGCGTGGGGGTGGGCGCAGGAGGGGGAGCAGGTCACATTGCAGAGCCCACGGGGACACGAACATTAGCACAGGCAGGAGTGGGGTGGGGGCACAGAGCTGCTCACGGGCATCCATGGGGTCTCCGGAGTGGGGGGGCTCTTCCTCTTGCCCTTCAGCTCTGAGGGGCTGCTGGAGGCTGCTGCTGGAGGAGGAGAGCACTCCCACAAGCATCGGGACACACCGGCCCCCACAGCAGCACCCACCTCCCGACACAGCCCTGGGGGTGGTGAATGAAACCCCCTTTTGAGTGGGAATGAGATGGGAAGGAGTTGTGCAGGGGCTGAGAGGTGTTTTGGGGAC